AAAGATAGTGCCTTCCAAGCATAAGGGCCATGTCTATGGCAAAGAGATGGGAACCAGATGCCAGCTGAGTTCAGGGAATAGTTAGTAGGTCAGGTTAGAATGTAGAACGTGTAAATAGGAATAGTAGGAGAAAATTCAGCAGCTACATGGTGCAGTGCTGGGCCTGGAGTCAGGAAGATTCATCTTCCTGAGTTCAAATCTGGCTTCAGACACTTACTAGCTGTGTGACCCTGGGCAAGTCACTTAAACCTCACTGTGCCTCAGTTTCCACATCTGTAAAATGAGCTGGAGAAGGAAATGGCAAACCACTTGAGTATCTTTGCCAAGAAAACCCCAAATGGGTCATGAAGAGTCAGACACAACTGAACGACGATAACAAATGAGAAAAGTCGAGAAAAGTCGATAAAAGTGGTTAGAAATAGGTTGTGGAAGGTTTTAAATGCCTGGCTGAGGAGTTTGAGGAAATAACAAGCTGATGAATATTTTTGAGTGGTGGGGACTAGAATAATAAGATCTATGTTTTGCAAAGATTACTTTGGTAGCTATGAGGAAAAATGGAGAGCCTAGAAGCAGGGAGACTAATAATTGTCCAGGTAAGAGATGAAAGGTTCTAAACTAAGATATTGGCGACTTGAGAGGATGAATGAATGAATGAATGAATGAATGAATGAAAGAAAGAAAAAGCACTTATTAAGCATTATGGGCCCTGTGCTGTGCTGAGCACTAAATATGAAACACGAAACATTCCTTACCCTCAAGGACTTTACATTTTAATATGAGAAGACAACACATATAGGGGAATGGTCAGGGAGGGGTGTTTGGGTCTGGGAAGTCACAAAGACAGCAAGTAAAGTCAAAAGGCAATTGTTTTTTACCTTCTCCTTTCCCTGAATGGTAGTATTGATTTGATTAAGAGATAGAAAAGGAGTAGAGGAGAGGAAGAAGGGGAAAATAAGCAGGCATAGCAACATGGTATAGGGAGACTTCAGGAAAAGTAGAAAAATGGAAATATTTGGTAACTGATTGAGCATGGGAGATTGCAGGGAGTGGGAGGATGGGGGAAGGATTCAAGGATATCAATGAGGTTTTGAACCTGAGTAACTGAAAGGATAATGTTGTGTTTGACAGAAATAGGAAAATACAGGTGGTGAACATCTTTAGGGGAGGAGATAATGAATTCTGTTTCTGACATGCTGAGTCTGAGATGCTGATAGGACATGCAGGTGGCTAAAATGAGCAGATATCTGGGAATGCAGGTCTGCACAGAGATGATAAAGAACTAGTGAGAGTGGTTGAGATCACTGATAATGCACTGAGTGGGGCTTTCTTAACCTTCTTTTGTCTAATGGATATCTTTGGCAATCTGGTAGATCCATTGATCCATCCTCAGAATGATTTTTTTTTACATGCACAAAACAAAATACATAGGAAAAAATACAAAGGAAACCAAAGTTAAGGGAAAATAAATATGTATTATTTTTCCTATTTGAATTTATGAACTCCACGAAATCTATCTACAAACTTCTTAGGGGTCTGAAGAACCCAAATTAAGGACTCCTGATATAGGAAGAAGAAGAAAAAGCCTAGGACAGAGCCTTGGAGAACACCCATACATTTGGTAGCAAAATAGAGAAAATTCATTCTATTTTCAATTGTTTTTAATAGAAAAGGATACAAAATAAAATTTTTAGAATAGAAAACAAATTTTCTATTTCTTGAAAGCAGCACTTATTGATACATATATAGTTTCAAATTTAACATTCTGGGGGAAAATATTGTTATATTCAAAATTTTTTCATATAACTCCTATACATCTTGTGTGGAATTTTAGGGTCTTATGGAATATAAAACCTAAATTTAACAGTGGGTTTCAAATTTGAGTTGTTACACAAAGAAGGAAGGTTTTTTTACACAAATATCTCCTTCTTCTACACACTGATCCCTCTCTAAAGCAAAAGGATCATATGATTATAGATTTAGAGCTGGAAGAGACTTTAGAGGTCATTTAGTCTATCTCCCTCATTTTACAGATGAGGAAACTGAGGCCTAGAGACATTAATAATAATAGCTAGCATTTATATAACACTTTAAGGTTTGCTAAGCTCTTTACAACTATTATCTTATTTTATAATTATTATCTCATCCTCTCAACAACCTTGAGAAGCAGGTGCTATTATTATCCATTTTATAAATGAGAAAACTGAGGTTAAGTGATTTGACCAAGGTCAAATAAGTACTTTTTACTACTTGGGATTTGAACCCAAGTCCTCTGCCTGGAAATCCAGTGTTCTTAATACCATACCACAATACTTCCCAAGACTCCTGCCTGATTTGCCTCCTGTTACACGGCTCGGAAAAATTGGAGGATAGTAAGGATGTTGAGAGCAGGGTGGGGGAAGGGGAGTGAGAAAGGGGACTGGAAATCCTGCTGAATGATTTGTTGGTTTCACTTGTTTTTAAATGTTTAGGCTTCCAATCACCATACAACCAAAATGATTTTATTCCTCTATTCATTAGTCTCATTCATTAGTTTGCAAGAACAATTCCTTGTCCCTTTAGCTCTCTCACTTTCACTGTGTCTTCTAGCTATTCGTTTATAGCACCAGAAAAATAATGTGGGTGTACTTGAGCCAAGTATACCCTGGCTCCAGAAGAAGACATTCTAGTGCTCATGGGGATCGCTGCTCTCCTTAGCCCCAGGGGATCACCCCAACTACCTGGGTCAGTGAGAGACAGGGACGAAATAATCCTTTGATCCATCTCGAGTCTGGGGGTAGTGAGTGGGGAAAGGAAAGGGCCTAGTATTTGACACCATTCTTGTGCTTGAAACTATGCCCTGCTCTTTATTCTGGACTCCTCATTGTCAGCGGTCTTCTCTCTGAGGAGGTCCTGGCTTGCGTGGTTAGTAATGCTGTGCTTAAAATGCTTTGCTCCTCAGGAAAGCTAGAAGAGATGTGAGCATTCTCCAATTCCTACCCTCTGAGAAAATGCTGTTTTTCATGGACTCTGTCCTTTTCCTGCCTGCATACAAATACTTGACACATCTGTTACTGAACATAAAACATTTTGTTTGCCTAATTTATATACAGGGTAGCTGGCTATAATGGGCAGCTAGATGGTAACAGATAGAGCAATAAGCCTAGAGTCAGGAAGATTTGCATTCAAATCTGGCCTCAGACACTTTCTAGCTGTGTGACCCTGGTCAAGTCACTTAACCCTTATTTGCCCCATTTCTTCATCTATAAAATGGGAACAAAATGGAGAAGGAAATGGCTAACCACTCCAGTATTTTTCCCAAGAAAACTCTGTGGACTTTGTCCATGGAGGCACATAGAGTCGGATACAACTGAATAACAACAACAGGCGATCATAGCTTTGAACTGCATTAAGGCTTTTGGAACACCCTATATTTGTTCAGTTTGTCTCTACAGTATAGAGGTAGCTTGATGAAATAGAAAAAGTGCTGGGCCTGGATCCCATCAGCCAGACCAGGATTCAAATCCTGGCTCTGATACTTATTAGCCCAGAAGCCACTAAACCTCCATGTGCCTTCACTAATTCCCTAGGTCTCATATGATAAAGTTGCTGGCAGGCCACAATCTTCCCTAGTGGAGGGAGTTCTACATTCCTGAAACCTGAAGATTATTTGGGTATTCTGCAACATGCCCTTGTCTTACGCAAGTCACTTAATCATTCCTGGCCTTTGCATCCAGATCAGTAAAGTGAGGAAGTTAGACCAAATAGTCTGTAAGCCCCCTTTAAAAGGCTCTCAGACACTATGATTCCACTATAGTCTATACAATCTGTCTTTGACTGCAAGCCCTTGCAAAGCATAGGCCATGATAACTTGCTTTGGACACAATATAAAGGTGAAATAAATCCTTTTGGACCATGACAATACTGAGATTTTTAGCAGAGGCAGCTGCTAAGTCTATTGGTTAACTTCAAAGGACCGAAAGAAGACATCCTTGGTGGAGGGCCCATAACTGTCAAATTTATTTCCTTTGTGAGGACAAGAAAGGTTAAGCTTGTTGACTTTTAGGGCCTAGTACAATGACCATCTGGTTTTACTCTCAGATGAGTGAATTACTCCTTTTTCCATGGCCGCAATTGTTCAGAAAAGCTAGGCAACAGAGCTACCACAAGGTGTCGCTCATTACACACAAATTTTAGGCAAGCTGGGGGGTGGGGTGGATGAAATGTGAATTTATCTATTTTTCTGAAAGTTGTGGCAAGCAAAGATTTTATTTAGTTGTTTCAGCCTCCAAAAGCAAGAACTAAATAGGATTCCCACCCCTTGTGCCCCTTCACAACCAATGCTAATGCCACTTTGGTAGAGGGGAGGGAAGGGGATGGGAAGGGTTAGGAACAGCCTCAGTTTTATCTGAAAATTCCTACTACCTTGCAGTTCTGATTTTTGAGAATTGACCCTAAACACTGAATGCCCATGACTGTGGCTCCCTGACTTATGGGCGGACCAATGTCTTTCATTCTGTTGCATTTAAAAGAAAATGGAGACCCTTTAAAAGGGACCTCCCTTAACAACTTATTAAAAATAATTTTTTGAGTTTGAAGCACCAGAGGATTCCAGTTGTAAAAGTTTTAAAGGTTCCAGTATAGGAGAGAAAGCAGTAGTTTCAAATAAAGCTTAATTTGGAGGAAGTGAGAAACATCAGAATTCGAGAAGTCATCTGACCGGAAAGCATGCTTCAATGCTGTTATGTTCCCATACGGTATGAGTTCTATTTTGTTTATCTTAAGATGTTTTTCCCCCCACCTGACAGGAGACCAGCAGAGAGACAGAAATCTAGTTGAATCTAGTGGGGGTGGAGGGGTTGAAGCAAGCAGGGTTGGGTGGCTTGCCCAGGGTTACATAGCTGGTGTCTGGGGCCAGATTTAAACTCAAGATAAGAAAGAAAGAAAGAAAGAAAGAAAGAAAGAAAGAAAGAAAGAAAGAAAGAAAGAAAGAAAGAAAGAAAGAAAGAAAGAAAGAAAACATATTAATTTTGCTAAATGCAAATTTTACTTTCACAGCGAATATAATATGGTAAGTATATTATTTATAAAATAAACAAAACTTGCCTATTGTATATACACACTAACCTCAAAACATGACAGATAATTCAATTGAAAAAGAGTTCTTCTGATTGAAGGGAAACTGCTTATGTTTGAGTAGGCTGACTTTTTTGTAGCACTGCCAAATTAAACATTCAGTGTGCCACAGTTCTTCTAACAAAGTATATTGTACCATGAGCAAGCAAGTTTGAGAACCCTTAATGTACATAAGTAAATACGAGTAATTTCAGGAGGAAGGAACAGTAATAGTGGGGGAACCAGGAGAGGCTTCATGTAGGAGAGGGCTCCTGAGTTGAGTCTTAAAGAAAGCTAAGGATTCTCTTCTAACAAGTGAGAAAGAAGTGCCTTCTAGAGATGTGGGCTGAGGCCATGTGAAGTCTCAAGTGCCAAGTCCAAGGAAGACCTTGTAGGCTATTTTGGCTGAAATGCCATGTATGAAGGAAGTGATGTAGAATAAGTCTGGAAAGGTAAGTTGGAGCCATATTGTGAGGGGCTTTAAATACTATGCTGAAGAATTTGTATTTTATCTCACAGGCAGGTGGAAGCCCCTGAAGATTTGTGAACACAGGAGTAACATAGTTGGCTGTGTTGAGAAGATGGACTGGTAGCAGAATTGACAAAATTTGACTATGGAGGAGTGAAGGAGAGTAATAAGTTTAGTAGGACTCTGAGGAGGTTGTGAACCTGGCAGACCCTTGACCTCATTTGATATTCTCTCTTCCTTTGGTTCAGTCTCTGGTAAGGAAGTGAGCCTTCTTTTAGCTAAGGCCAAAGCTTTAATAATGTCCTTAATGCCATCTGCTCCCATCTTGTCTTGCAGAAAGCCCTCACAATCATCTCCCTCTCTTTATAACCTTCAGGCTCTTCATGCCCACTGGCTCCTTCCCTGCTGCCTACATTCGAAGTCTCCTACATCATTAAAAAGCAAAACAAAACAACAAAAACCTCTCACTAGACACTGTCATTCTTACTGGCTATCAACCCATATCTCTCCTCTCTTTCAGTCAGTCAGCAAGTATTTGTCTGATTATTCTGTGCCATGTGCTTTCACGGCCAAACTCCCAGAAATAGTTATCTGTACACACTTCTTTTGCTAGTTTCTCAACTCTGTGTCATCTGGCTCCTGACCTCATCACTGAACTAAAATTACCCTCCAAAATTACCAGTGATCCCTTAATTTTCATAGCTGATGTCCTTTTCTTAATCCTCATCATTCTTAACTTTTCTACACTATTTGACAGTGTTGAATACATCTCCCCTTAGGTACGCTCTCCTCTCTGGATTTTCCTGAAATGGTTTTCTCCCGCTTTTCCTCCTACCTGTCTGACTGCTTTTCTTGGTCTTCTTTGTTGGATTTTCATCCGTGGCCTGGCCTTTAACTGTGGATATACCTCAATGCTTCATCCTGATCTCATCTGATAACCTCATTAGTTCCTATGGTGTCAACAATCATCTCTATAATTCCCAGTCTATATATCCACCTACCCTAACCTCCAGCTTTCATCACCAACCATCCACTGGATGCTTAGAGAAGCATCTCAAACTCAACATTGCAAAGCACAATTCAAGATCTCCTCATTCCCTCCCTGCCTACCAAACCCACTCTTCTTCTCTATTTCTGGGAAGAGCACAACCATCCTTCACTGGAAGAGTCACAGTGAATCCCAGGTTCACAACATTGGCATTTTCCTCAACTTCTTAACCCTCGTTCCACACAGCTTTTCAATTGCCAGATCTTTTCACTTTACCTCCGCAGCATCACTTACAGTCATTCCCTTCTCTCTAATCCCATGGCTACCAACCTTGTTTAGGCCCTCATCATAGCTTTCCTAGACTAGGGCTTCACCCTGGTCTTCCTGCCTCAAGTGTCTCTTTCCTCCCTTCCATATTCCATACAACTGCCAGAGGATTCCAGCTGTAAAAGTTTTAAAGGTTCCAGTATAGCAGAGAAAGCAGTAGTTTCAAATAAAGCTTAATTTGGAGGAAGTGAGAAACATCAGAATTCGAGAAGTCTTTCAGGTCTTCCCTATGGGATCATCTCCATCTCGTCTCGTGTGTAATAGTTATTTGCATAATCCCACCCCTCCCCTCAGAATATGAGCTCCTTAAGGTCAGGGACAGTGTTTTTGCATTTCTTTGTATTCCCAACATTTAGCATGCTGCCTGGCACTTAGTAAATGCTTAATAAAACTTTGTTGCCCCCCCCCCAGCTGCTAATAACCTACGGTGTGTATTTGCATATACTTATATATGCCCATATATCCCCTCACAGAATAAAATCTCTTTGAGGACAGGGATTTTTTTCCTTTTTTGTCTTTGGATCTGTAACACCTTGCACAATGCTTGGCACATAGTAGGCACTTAATAAATGCTTGTTGATTGATTCACTAGAAGGTGGGTGTTGGCCTTAACAGAGTTAGAGAAGGCTGGAAGGAGGAAGATAATGAGTTCTATTTTAGATACATAGAGTTTGAGATGCCTGTGGCACATCCAAGTGGAAAAATCCATTAAGCAGCTAGTGTTGCAGAACTGGAGCTCAGGAGAGAGATTAGGGATGGGGTGTGTGTGTGTGTGTGTGTGTGTGTGTGTGTGTGTGTGTGTGCGCACGTGCACATGTGTGTGTAGGCAGATGGCAGCAGCAAGGATACGTGTGAAAGATTTGGCTTCAGCTAGAACAAGGGTTGCTTTTTCACCAGAGACTGAATTGAAATAAGAGAGAATCACAGATAATGCCAAGTGTTAGCCCCTCCTGTTGCTGCTGGTCTGCATGTCATAAAGTCAGTAATGGGGACATATAGGCAGGATGCCTTTTGCAATCCCCTCCCCTTAATTCTAGTGCCTTCCATCTGTTGATCATTTCTAATTCGATCTGTACACATCTTGTTGTGCATCGTTATTGCATGTTGTGTTCCCCATTAGACCGTGAGCTTCTTGAGACCCGGTACTATCTTTTGCCTTTCTTTAGATCCCTAGTGCTTAACACACAGCATTTGCTTTAAAAATGCTAGTTGACGAGTTGACTGAAAGGTTTGGTAGCTCCCTCAAATCTAGACTGTTGGCCTCTTAATGCTGTAGTGCTAACAACTTTATTCAGCAACCTATACAATAAAGCCTAAATACTCATACATATGTATGTATATGTGCATATGTAGGTGTCTATTTACATAGATTCCATATGATTCCTGGAATCCTCTGTCTACACACACACACACACACACACACACACACACACACACACACACAGAGCTTCTGGACCCAAAAGGCTGGGCACTACCCTTATTTCCATCTCTCTTCTAAACTCTGAACCCAGGCATGTGATTTGGACCATGTTCAGTCTGGGGAAAATCTGTCCTCTAATAATATGGAGGGTGAGGCTCCCTTCTCATGGATACTTCAGCTCATTAAACCTTGATCCTGGCACTCCAGGGACAAATTTACTTATATTTAAAGTTGTAATTCATGCCCAGAGTCCTTCCAAAGGGAAGAATAGAAAGGTATTCAATGTCCAATATAATTGAGGTATGAAGCAGATGAAAGGCAGCATCACATAGCCACATGTAGCTTAGAACTCCCAAGCTCAAGAGATCAACCAGCTTCAGATTCACCAGTAGCTGGGATTATAGATGTGCCCACCATACTGGGCTATACTGCAAATGCATAAGCTGCTTTTGTGTGTATCATAGCACTCAGTGCTGAGTGCATAGTAGCTGTTCATTGAATACTCAATGATTTATTGAAGGGAAATGCACAAAAATGAAATTCAGTTCCATGTATTTATCTTCCATGAAGATGTGTATGACTCTTCCTGTAACTCTGAAATTGTCTGTGACTTGTTCATCTTTCCCAATTCTGATAAATTAATGTTAATGGCAGCCCTAAGGTTAGCCCAGAAAAGTCCATGTTTATTCTTCTCCTTGGGCCATTCCAAATAGGTTCTTTGTGCCATGAGAGCTTTCAGCTTGTGATACCTGGTAGGAATGCTATACTGGGGAATTGGTTCCAGTAATATGAGAATTAAATTATTAGAATCTTCATGAAATAGTTGGTGGTGAGCAAAATAAAGTTCATAATGGCACCATTCACTCTGAACAAAGTTAGGGGACAAAATAAAGATAGATTTATAGCTTTTCTCAATACAGTTAATAATATTTTCCACAACACTCTTGCCAGGAACGAAGTGTCTCTCATGGAGACAAATCAATATGGATTTATCTTCTTTCTCTAGGTTTGGTATCAGCTCATTCTTTACCCAGAGAGAATCCCCTTCACTGTACGAAATAAAAGCATGAAATTGGATTGTTTTTTTTGAGTTCTTCTAGGTGCACATTCCTAACTCTGTGCTGGGTCTGTGTCCACTGAGCTATCATCCTCAGGTACCAGAGCAAATCGAAGCGGATGCAAAGAACCACTATGACAGCTGTCCAAATTAAACCAACTATCAGAATGACAGCAATCAATAGAGGTGTATTACAAGATAATTCTGGCAGATCAACATTCTCTAATGGAATTCCCTTTAGTTCTAGAGGATATTCACAGGTATATGCATCTGGCCATCCAATCATCAAGCCTTGGGATTTTTTTTCTAGGTTGATGAAGTTTCTTAAATCACAGGCACATCTGAATGGGTTGCCTCCTGCTTTTAATGATTGTACTTCCTGACAAGTGTGGAAGAAATCAAGAGATGGGCTAATAATGGAATTCATTTCAATATTCAGCACAGAAAGCCTTTGGAAATTGTCACACCCAGGAAGATCAGTTAGAGAATTAAATGCAATATTTAGCTCCCGTAAAGCTTTCAGATCTGCAATTTCTCTGGGGATGGTCCTAATGTCATTATTATGCAGGTCAAGCACTTGGATACTCTTTGGTATGCATTTGAAAACAGAGCCAATAAATTTATTGGATGACAAATTCATGGTAGTGAGGGTTTCTGGCCAGTAGCAATCTTTTCCATCAGCATACTGTAGTAGATTCTGGCTTAGATCTAGGTGTACCAAGGATGTTTTGATAGCAAATGAACTCACTGTGGAAAGTATTTCTAATTTATTCCTTTGCAAAATAAAAGTTTTCAAATGTGGCAATTGAAGAGTGTCTACAAATAATTCACTGTCAAAGTATTGTTGGCAAAATTCAAATGCTGAAATTTGGTGGGATAATTAGGAAAAATTATATGTGGCATCCCCGCACCTGATATTGTCAAGTTTTCAATGTCCATGTGTGTAAAGAACAAGTAGATTATATCCTGTGGGAAGGAAAATATCTTAACAGTCACATGCTCCACCTTTAGGGCTTTCATCAAGGTATTAGAGTAGTTAAATGGTTTGAGTTTAAATTCACTTTGGGCACCAATGGTCAAATTTTGTATTTGTAATTGTTGGATTGATGAGCGCCAAACAAACTGCAATGTTTGAAAGAACTCCTGCCAGGGTCCATCTACATTCCTGAGTAACAGATAAGAAGTTTTAGAGCCTGTTGGACTCTCCAACAGAGGATTCTTCTGACTTTCCTGGCTTGTAAATTGATCCATATTGATATTTGTCATTTCCAAGGTTTTCGAAGCGTGGATTCCATCATACAAAATAAACCTATAATCAGCATTCTCTGGAAAGACTATATGAAGTCTCTCAGTGTTTAAGAGGGGTAAGCTGCCTTCTTCGTAGTAAGAAAGATGCTTTAAGCCCAGGAAGACAGTGCTTAGGGACAAACGAGCCACTGTCTGTAAATCTGATTTTTGTATCTGTGCCCCACTCAATCCTAAAAATTCCAGTTTTGACATGCTGCCAAACTCCTGACAGATGGGAATATTGTTGAAGTCATTAAAAGAAAGATCTAAATGTCTGAGGGCCAGAAGTGAATAACAAGAAATATTTCTCAGGCGATTGTAAGATAAGTCTAAGTATTCTAATTCCTTGTTGAATTGGAAGATGCTCATATCCAGATGTTGGATTCTGTTATGAGAGAGAATTAAAACTTTTAGCTTAGAGAAAGGACTAAGGTCCAAGTTCAGAGGTTGACATGTGAATTTGTGGGATAGATCCATTGTGGTAGTTTTTGGTGACATATCTGTAAGAACATTTTTAAGGTAATCCTGAGAACAGTTGGTTGTTAATTCATTTGCTTCCAGCAGTAGCAGAGCCCCACACAGCACAGATAGGTCAATACTATACAGAATGTAAATGTTTCTCATGATTTCCATTATTTTCTGCTGATTGCTATCACCGGTTCTCTCAAGTCACAGATGAGGATGAATTAAAGCCTAGAAAAACAATTTATAACATTATTTGGCCATTTGGCTAATTAAATCTCATAGAAAGATAAAATACGAGAATAGACCCAATTCTCAAGCAGCTTCCACACTTATGGGGCACACATGTAAATCAATAAATAGACACAAGGTACACACAGAGCAGAAGGCAGGGAATTTTAGAGAAAAAAAACTCATGTAAGTTGGTGTTTGGGGACAGAGGTTAAGGAGAGGTAGAGAAGGCCTCCTGCAGAAGAGAGTGTTTGCGGTGAGTTGTGAATTAAGCCCTCAATGTCAAGAGATGGAGGCAAGGAGGCAGAGTATTCCAGGCATGAGGGACAGTCTGTGAGGTGGGTATAGATACTAGCTTTTCCCAAATGAAAGAAAGTACTGAAGGACCATGGGAAGCAGGACCCATACAGCACTTAGCACACTACCTGTCATATAGTAAAAGCTTAATAATGCTAATTGACTGTCTAGTTAAAGGTTGAGTGACTGGTCCATGGTTACAAAGTGAGTGGTATTAGAATACAGATCTTTCTGATTCCGTGTCCAACATAAAATCATGCTGAAGGGCCCTAGGAGATCAAATGCCCAGGTGGAAGCACTGATTTTAGCAAACTTTTGTGATCTCTAAAGCTAGAGGGAAAATGCAGATTTTAAGATGAGGAGGAAAAGAAATGAAAAAGCCCCCATTGGAAAACTTTAATATTTTTGACAAAATATTTGACATTTGCTGAAAGTACAGGAAGTTAAGGATGGAGTTGGCAGCAGCAGAAAACAAAAATATTGGAGATAATCACCGTAGGAAAATGAGATAAGGCAAAAATAAGGGGGGAATGAAAACATTGTCATGAAGCAATGTCACTGAAGCCAAACAGTGAGCCAACTAGCATTTATTAAGCACCTACTATGTATCAGGCATTGTGCTAGGTGCAAGACAGTTAGAATACAATTGTAGTGGATCAAGTGAAAAAAGGTTGTTACTACCCATGGTATTCACTAATCTACTGCTCAGGAATAGTAGCATAGAAGGCAGATCATCAGGTTAAATCTAGGGTTGGGAATTAGCAGGGCTAAATTAGCCATAAGGGAGATAATGGGGAAGGTAAATAGAGGTTCAGGAAATACGGTGGTGAGGAAGAAGTTTAAAAAAAGAAAAGAAGATTATGGTCTGGGATATTTCAGAATTCAAGATCTTGTAGGTTGCAACATTTGACATGTGGCCATTTTGGTGGGCAGCAAAATTAAAGTAGACATAAAAGTTCTAGGACTTGAGGAATCATTCATTCAGTCAATAAAAATTTATTAAGCACCTACTACATACCAGGAACTGTGCCAATTACTGGAAATGTGACAAAAGGCAAAAGATAGTCCAAGCTAAGGTGAAAGATAGTGTCTACTCTCAAGGAGCTCACAGCCTAATGGAGGAGATGACATGCAAATAACCATGCATAAACAATATACAGATAAATCAAAGCTAACAGAGGCACTAGCATTAACAAGGATTGGAAAATGCTTCTTGTAGAAGATGGAATTTTAGCTGAGCCTTGAAGGAAGGCAGGGGAAAGCCTCAGGGAACAGAAGGGCCAGGGGGAAAGAAGGGTCTTCAGTGTGAAGTTGTCAAGGATGGTGGGAACAGAGAATGGAGAGGAAACAAATTGCTAAAGTGATTGAAGAAAGTAAAGATCAATGGATGTTGAGGACAAGGATTGGAACCATCAGATGACATGAACTTCAAAGAAGGAGAGCTTACTGAATGATGGTAACAGGGGAACTGGTCAGTGAAAGTACCTTGGAAAAAGTTATATTCACCATGGAGCCCTGATAGCCAGAGAGGGGAATGTTGGACATAGTTAGACACATTCCCTGGATTTTAAGGAAACTGATTTCATAAAGTTCATCAAAAAGGTAGGTGTGATCCCACGTTCTAAGAAAGATTCTCAGAAAATGATGATTCAATTCTGATTTATACCAATGCAGTAAGGACTCATTTCAACTGATCACAAGAAAGAGCACTCGATTTGTAGTCAGAGGAGGCAGCTTCATTCAAATCCTGCTCCTGACATTACTAGCTCTGTGATTTTGGACAAGTCAGTGAAATTCTTTGGGGCCCAGTTTCCTGATTCCAAATCCAACATTAAATCGTGCTAACGGGCCCAGACGGAAGCAGAGATTTTAGCAAACTTCTCCAATGTCTGAGGCCAGGAAATGAGGGGGTCGGACTGTATGACTTCTCAAGCTCAAAATCTATGATCCTGTGACCCAATGAAAAGGGGAAAGACATTGAAGAAGACTGAAGTGGCTTCCTAGTCAGCTCTCCACTGAGCTCAGGTTAACAAGGGGGGGAAAATGCTTAAGAATGAAAAGAGATCTAACCTGCACAGAGGATCATGTAACCAGAGAAAAATGCAAATGAGTATCACAGAACCCTAAAATAATGAAGTGAGGCTGGAGAGAAAAAGGGAAAGGGACATAAAAATGCTTTTCAAAGCCAAGTTTGGGGTAAGAAGACAAACAGAAAAGATAGGTCCACTGTTTAGAACAGATGATATAAATTTAACAAGCTACAAAGACAGAGTAAAACTATAGGCAAAAGACACAGAAATTTGCCATGAACCAAATATGACTTACGATGCCTTTAAGGGTACAAGTTTGGAATTTCCCCACAGTGATTTCCTCAGAGACTACCTTCAGCTCAGTCTGGGTCTTCAGTCTTTGTTCTTCATTCCATTTATTAATTTTTTTAAACCAACAGTTCATTGTTAAGGGGCTTCATCTTTCTCTAGAAAAGCCCAATTTATGATGAAGGGGCATCAACTTAACAGCTCTACCTAGAAGCTCCTGCAACATAAAGGAAAAGAGAAAATACAAAGTCTTCATTCTGATTGGAGGAGCTGTTCTTTTACTTCAGTTTTCTGGAAGAGGAAAATGAGAGGAATTTGGCTTCTAGATTCTCATGCTCTAATTCTAACCAGTTACTTTTACAGTTACTGTCCCCCTTCCATGACTTATATTAGATTTAAATGTTTTTCTATTGCTCTGTTTCTCTGAGTGGATGAGCTTGACCAGCCATAGACAATAAAAATGTTTTTTAGAGGAAAAAAAACATTTAAACTTACATGAGAGTTTCCCTATGTGACTAGTTCTTAAACCAAAATTTAGGCAATTTCTAAGAAGGCAAAATTTACCTCCTTTTCCCTTCCCCCTTCCAGGATATCAGTGGATTCTTCCCAGTTCAGTCTTTGCAAATGTCTTTGGGGAGACTTCAGACTTGACACACTCAAATTAGCTATCAACCTAGTTCCCACCCCCCACCCCCATCCCGTGCATGAGACACCAGTCAATTCAATTCAAATATTTATTAAACATGTACGTGCAAAGCATTGTGCTAGGTGTTTGGGGTTGCAAAAACAAACAAAAGAGAGTCGGTCCCTGTTCGCCAGAAGCTTTCATTTTGCTTAGGCTCACGCAACATACACAGACAAGTCAACACAGACATTTTGAGGAGAGAGAGAGAGAGAGAGAGAGAGAGAGAGAGAGAGAGAGAGAGAGGGAACTAACAGCTAGGGAGAACAGAAAAAAACTGTTGAATTGAAGCAGATTACAGTTCAATTAGAGACCTGAGTCTTGAGGAAGTCAGGGAGTATAATAGGTAGAGTAAATTCCAGATATGGGGGAGGGGATAAAGGCTGTGCAAAGGAATTCGGGTAGGAGATGGAGTGCTGAATACCTAATTTAAAAAATGCACCAACTGGGAACTGAAAACACCAACTAGCTAAAATCTCTTCTACCTCATTGGTAGGCAGCTTATTAGTTATAAACTTCAGCAATTCTTCTGATGACTTGGGGTTTCAGGTACTCGTTCTTTAGACTTAGCAAGCACATCACAGCAGTACCCAAGTCAACCTACACTCACATTCTTAGCCTTAATTTCTGTAAAGATGTATTTTGAACTTTTGTAATCTGAATTTTGAGCAAGGGAGTAACCTGATTAAAGTAGTATATTAGGAAGATTAATTTGACAGCAGTGTGCAGAAAAAATTTTAAAAGGCAGAAGACAAAGAGCTGAGAGAGCAGTTTAATTCACTTCAATGCCATTTAGCAAATATTTATTAGCTGCCTAATATATGAGAAAAGTACTGTGCTAGGTGTTAGAGTTAGAAGATTAAATAATGTTTTAAACTTGAGTGGTAGCTATGAAAAAGGAGTGAAAGTTAAAGTATGGTTTGTTTGTTTTTTTCAGTCCAGGCATGATGGTTCATTCATCTGAGGTTCTGCTGCCTCTGGGATATTAAAAAAAATAAATAAATATTTTGGTTGCACTTTTATGCCTTAAAAGTCTTTGCTGGCCATTTGCCTTTGCAGATTATTTTAAATTGTCTCTCATTAGGCAGAACTAGTTTCTTTGCTTTACATAAAAGATGCCTTATTCTGAGTATCAGAGTGCTATGTTATCTAGAGGGCATTATTATTGTTAGGTTTTCTATAATAGGAGATTCTCTAGAAACATCAATCATCAAGATGTTATGTTATCCATCAACATTTATTATTGAGCATCTACAATGTGTAGAATATTGTAGATTTCAAAGGTCTTTGCCGGTATGGAAGTGTGACATTTAGAGAAAATTATTATAAGTATGAATTGAGGAATCTTATGGCATAATGTATGGAGTTATTCAGTTGTGTCTGACTTTGTAACCCCATTTGGGTTTTTCTTGGCAGAGATACTGGGATGGTTTGCCTTTTCCTTCTCCAGCTCATTTTACAGATTAGGAAACTGAGTCAAATAGGGTTAAGTCACTTGCCCAGAACCACAAAGTGTCTGAGGTCACATTGGAACTCAGGTCTTCCTGACACCAGGCCTAGTGCTTTATCCACTGCACCACCTAGCTGCCCTATAGTGTATGGAGAGATGGTCTCGAAAATGAGGAAGATCTGGAGTCAAGTCCTGCCTCTTACATATATTGGTAGTGTAACCCTGGGCAGGTCACTTAACCCCTGAGGGTTCTAGACAACTGTTATAAATTACAGAGAAGGTGCCAACTTGCTTTGGTAGGGGAGTTTCCTCACCAAGAGTTCCATATACCCATGAAATCACAGGTCTAGCCCCTATCCCTAATACATATGAACATAAAGAGAGAGAGAATGGTATAGTGGAGGAAGGGCTATCCCTGGAATCTCTGGGCTCAACTCCTGCCTTTGACACAAATTGACTATATGACCATGGACAAGTCACTTAATATCTCAGTGGTCTCTCTAAATCTATAATTTATAGAGGAATTGTTTGTGTGTATTAGGAGGGGATTCCTTGCTAGGAATTTCCTCTAAGATGAAATCACCTGTGTGGACCAAAATAAGTAAATGAAAATGAACACAAAACGTAGGTAGTGAATAAACCTCTCACAGACATTCAGTTTGAGTACTTCATGCGCTCCCAAGAACCAGATGCTTAAGAGCCAAATGTCTGTCTCTGGTTAAATATCAGTAATCTTTCACAATACTATAGTTAATTTCCTATTATGATGGTTTAAAATTTAGCAGTACCTGGATCAGAGTCATCATTTAAAAAGCATCAGGTTTTCCTCTCTTTAAAAAAAATACAGCACAAAGACATAATATTAATCGGGTCAAATGGCAACAGCTAAGCTCCAAACTGCAAAAAGCTGCATTAAACAGATACTGATGATAGGATTTGAATTAAGAGCAGGAAAAGTAAGAGAAGAAAGGGTACCAGTAAAACTGACCACCAATGCCTAAACTTGGACTTAATTTTCTAAAAACAATACAATATCTTTATTTAACTTAAGATTTAATTTATTTAATTTAAATTTTTATTTAATTTAACACTTAATCAGTTTCTAATTCAAGGTCATATCAATCTAGAATTCTTTTTTTAAAAATCCTCAGTGCAATAATCCCGTTTACTACTCCTAGGTCAATATGAGAAAAAATTTATAAATGCTAAAATCTAATTTAAAAATTCACTTTTCTTCTCTCTTTGAGTAGAGCCAATATTATGCATTTTGGAAAGACCTGAGCAACTCAAGATCTTTATTCTGTGTCAGGCTTTTTTAATCTATTTCTGAGCCATGGATCCCTTTGACATTCTAGTGAAGCTTAATACAGCTGTGGTTTGCTGTCTACATTCATAACTAAAATAAATGCTCAATTTCAATTAGAGGTTAGTGAAAATAATCCCTGTCCAAGTTCATAGCCCCCCTGAAATTTATCAAATGACCCCCTTGGGACTTTGTGGACCCCAGGTTAAGAACCATGTAAGTAGACGAATAAGTAAAATGAAGGATTCTTACCTTTAAGTTTGCAACTGTCTGTCTCAACAGAAGCAGCAAGTGCAGATGAGAAAACAAAACCAGTTTGCTCCAGTACAAAGGTCTAGCAAGAGTTGTAATGAAATCTTATCCCTTGGGGGAGAGGAAGCCACCTACTGATCATTTGCAGTATTACATGTGATGCACATATTGAATTCTTGAACTTCAGTTTTATTGTCTCTTTTAGTAAGTGTTTTTAAGTAGTCGGGATAGGTGGGGCAGCTAAGCTTGGGGCCAAGTAAGAATAGAATCTTAAAATGGTCCTGGCCAGATTGAAGGACTGGGCATTAAAAGTAATAATAATAAATATTTTTAAGGGATTACAAGAAGAAAACACAAACCAGAGAAGGACATTTATTCATTTCTTGGATCAAGACTTTGAGTATTTTACTTAGGTAGCATGAGATGCTAATTTCTTGTATAGAAAGAAAAAAAATAAACTCTATAGACAAAGATGAGAAGTAACAGTCAGTTGTTTTAGGCCAGCTTATGACTTTCAAACAACTTTTTAAAAATCCCCTCTGCTGGGTTTTTTTAAAAACATCACTTTCACTTCCCAACCCTCACCTCTACACACACACTCACACCACAATCCTCCCCTCCTGATAACCAACAGAAACAGATAAGCAAAATCTTACTATCTTATCACCTAGTACGTCTGATATATATCAACATTCTCCATCTGTAGTCTACCACTTCTCTACTGGAAGGGGTGAAGTAGTGGAGTATTTTATTATCAGTCCCTTAGAATCAAGATTAATCATACCACTCATCTGAATTCTAATGTTTTTAGCACTATTTTCCTTTGCACTTGTAGTCATTGTTTATATTGTTTTCTGGGTCCTGCTTTCTCCATTCTGCATCAGTTTAAATGAGCCTTCTTAAGTTTCTCAGAATTTCACCTATTTGTTGTTTCTTATGGCACAAAGTTATTCCACAACATTCATAAAGCAGTATTTGTTCAGTCATTCGCCAACTGATTGGCACCTACTTGGTCTACCATTTTTTTAGCCAGCACAAAAAATAGCAGCTCACTATCCTTTGACTTCTCTGAACTCAGCCATATTCAGTCTATTTTGCCCTGACAATGAAGGTTAATTAATTAATTAATCTACTCAGCAAATAAAATAGAAACTGAAAGAGTTGGGCGTAGGCAAAAGCAGAATTATTCTGTGTAATTATTTTACAGTTTTTTCTGATTAACCTCAGTTGGCCAGGAAATCATTATACGCATGGATAACGTTTGACTTAATGTCACCCCAGATATTGTACTTTTATCTGGTATCCCAACAAGTAGATGACCTTTTGCTGTACTCCCCTCCTTGCTTGCTTGAGCTTAGACCTCTAGAATCTTAAGAGTTGGAAATGATCTCAAAAGTTATGTTGTACCATCTCGACCTAAAATATGAATCAGTCTCTACAACATCACTAACAATTGGTCATGCAGACTTAGCTTAAATCATCTCTAGTGACAGGGACCTCGCTACTTTGTGTTCCATGTTTGGATAGCTGTAATTATTGGAGCTTTCCCATAGGTTCTTATAATAAAGTAGTGAAGCTCTATTCATTTACCTATTTATTTACCTATTCATTACTTCTAAGATGCGAACCTTAGGAGTGTGAAAACTTTAATTTTTTTAAAAAAATCTTTTTTTGTGTGTTCCTTATTCTTCCTCTTTCAATTAATCAATAACCTTTTAGTAACTGCTTACAATTCTTCAGGCACAGTGCTAAGGCTCAGCACTGAGGGCTATAAAGATAAAAATGAAACAATCTCTGCTCTCAAATGAGATGTTATTTGTAAAGGGCTAAACATTGTGCCTAGAACATTTGATAAGGTCCCCTCCCTTCCTCTTAGTCAAGGAAGATACATTCCATTAGAGAAAACAATGCTTGCACATAGAAGTAAATACAAAATGTGCGCTAATTTGGGAGGAGGAAGGTAGTGGCATTAAGGGAATCAGGAAAGGCTTAACAGGATTGTAATATTTGAGCTGAGCTTTGAAGGAAGCTAGAGGTGGAATTTCTAAGAGGTGGAATTGAAAGGGGGATCGCGTTCAGGGATAAGGAAAGGTCTCTTCAAAGGCAAGGAGATGACAAATGGTATCTCAAGTGTGAGAAAAACAAAAAGGCCTATTTAGCTGGACCATAGAAAGTGTGAAAGAAGTTTGTGGGTAGTACGTCTTGGGAATGGCTTTAGATGTCAAACAGAAGAATATGTATTTTTTTCCAGGTGGCAACAGGGAGCCATCGGGACTTTTTGAGAAGGGGAGTGACATGGCCAAACCTGTGGTTTAGGAACATCCTTGGGTAGCTGTATAGAAGGTGACTTAGCAAGGGGAGAAACGAGATGGGGGACTGATTTGGAAACTAATGCAGGCAGTCCAGGTGAGAAGTGATCATTGCCTGAATTAGGATGATAAACGCAATGTTATGAGAGAAATATGGAGACAGAATTGATAATATTTGGAAACTAATTAGATAAATAAGTTGAGGGAGAGGAAGGACCTGAGGAAGACACAGAGATTAAGAAATCTGGCTGACTGGAAGGATGGTGGTGTCCTTGACAGAACCAAGGCGATTCAGAAGAGGAGGTTTTGGGGAAGGATACTGAGTTATGCTTTTGATAGATTGAGTTTCAGTTTGAAACTCCATTTGAACAACTGAAGCAAATTCAGTTTGCCTATTGGTCTTTCAGTCTGAAATGTCCAGTAGGTAGTTGGTGATGTGGGACTGGAGCTCAAGAAAGAATCTTGGGTTGTAGATATAGATCTGGGAGTTATCTATATAAAAATGATAATTGAACCTATGGGAGCTGATGAGGTCACCAACTGACAAAGTACAGAATGAAAAGAGAATTTGACTCATGACAGAGCCTTGAGGATGCTTAAGGTGAGTGAGGCATGGATAAAGGTCCAAAAAAGCAGACTTGGAAGCCTCATGCAGCCAGGAAGGAGGAAAACCAAGGAGGGAAGTCACAAAAAATAACAGAGGAGAGAACCAGGAGAGGAGGGTAGTTGACGGTGTCAAATACAGCAGAGAGGCTGAGGATAAAGATTGAGAAAAGACCATCAGATTTAGCAATTACGAAATTGGAGAGAGAAGTTTCAGTTGATTTGGAAGACAGATTTTAAGAGTGAGGAGTGAGAGGACAGGCGATGGAAGCAGTGAGTGAAGTCCGCTTTTTCTAGTTTAGCTGTGAAAGAGAAGAGAGATGGAGGATGGTAGTTTGTTGCAGAGAAGGATGGTAAACTCTAGTAAGTTTGGGTTTTTGTTTTTAAGGATGAAGCAACCGGGGCATGTTTGTGGCCGATAAGGAAGGAGTCAGGAGATAGGAAGAGATTAAAGATTAGAGGGAGGGAAGAAATTATGGCGGCAATCCACCAGAAGAGATGGGAGACAATGAGATTGAGGGCACAATTAGAAAGATTGGTCTAGGGAAGGGCTACTTCTTCATCAGACGCTGAAGTGAAGGGAGAGACGGCAAAAGGTGATATCAAAGGGTTTTAAGATGTAAAGAAGGGAAGAAGAAAGAGTTCCAGATAAAAGGCTTTTATTTTCTTACTAATGTTTGAGGTGAAATCCTCTGCTGAAGAGGAGGGGAAGGGGCAGGGGAAGCTTGAGGAGAGAAGAGAAACTTTGGAATTTTAGGATAATTTAATAAAGAAATAATTAGGGAGAAGTATGAGGACCCAGTTGAGATTAGATAATAACTAATTAGTGGATTATAATAATTAGTGGCCCCAGTCAGTACCCAGGTTTGTGACTTCCTTCAGCATTGCTCAGCAGCATGTGAATAGGAGTAGATGTGGCAGATGGTAGGAATTTATGAGAGTTGGAGTTTGTAAAGGTGTGTGAGAAGACACCTCTAAGACGAGAAGTTCAAACCATTTGAGGGTAGAGTTCAGTGTAATGTTCAATTGGTTAACCATGGAATTGAGATTGGGAAAAGCGGAGGTAGTAACTTCAAGGAGCACCAAGAAGTAGAGGGACTATAGATCACAGTTAGGACTAAGAATAGAGTTAGAAGAGATGAGAAGGAGAAAGAGATAGGGGAAGAGAGAATGATACAAGGTTATAGTCAGAGAAACTGGGATTTCTAGATTATAGACATGGGACATTTGTAGGTACTGCTGATCAGTATATCTTTATCTGGTCGAGGTGCAAGAAGTAGGTCATGAGAGTAGAGAACATGGATGAAGAGGGAGGCCAGGGTGTTTGTAGGAAAATCAAAAAATGCATGTTGAAATCTCCTAGGTTTTTTTTTCAATTCATTTATTTATTTTTAGTTTTCAACATTCACTTCTGCAATATTTTGAGTTCCTCAAATTTTCTCCCCATCCTTCCCCATGACAGCCTGGATTCTGATTTCCCCTTCACCCCATCTGTTCTCCCTTCTGTTACCGTCCCCCCCCCACTGCCCTCTCTTATCCTCTTCCCCTTATATTTTCCTGTAGGGCAGCATAGATTTCTATATCCCTTTGCCTGTGTATCTTATTTCCTAGTTGCATGCAGAAACACTTTCTAACATTTGTTTCTAAAATGATGAATCCCAAATTCTCTCCCCTCCTCCATCCCCACCACCCACATTGAGAAGGCAAGCAATTCAACATAGGCTATGTGTGTGCAGTCATGCAAAACACTTCCATAACAGTCATGTTGTGAAAGACTATTTTTCCCTCCATCCTATCCTGGCATCCATTTATTCTATTCTCTCCTTTGTTCCTGTCCTTCCTCAAAAGTGTTTGCCTCTGATTAGCTCCTCCCTCAATCTGCCCTCTCTTCTATCACCCCTCCCTCTCTTATCCCTTTCCCCCCTACTTTCCTGTAGGGTAAGATAGATTGCCATACCCAATTGGATATGTATGTTATTCCCTCCTTAAGCCAAATCCGATGAGAGTAAAGTTCACTCTTTCCTTCTCACCTTCCCCTTCACTGTAAAAGCTTTTTATTGTCTCTTTTATGTGAGATAATTTACCCTATTCTGCCTCTCCCTTTCTCCTTCTCCTAGTACATTCCTCTCTTACCCCTTAATTTTCTTTTTTAGATATCATCCCTTCATAT